ATGTGCCGAATATCGTGACCGTACGTCGAGCGGTTAAGATTTGTGCCCAACTGTTGACGGACGGACGGACGGACGGACGGACGGAGGCCCGGACGGACGGACGGACGGACGATCGTGCGATTCTACAAGCTGCATCTGACTATGTCAGATGAGCTAAAAATCCTCACAACTGTGACACAGGATAATGGATAACACATTTGATTCCATGCAAAAAATAATGTTTTAAATACTCTACTCTGCCAGAACTGACAATAAAGTTGCACCTACATGCTATGATATGTGGGGTTTTTGGTGCTGCCGCCAGTGTAGCCAACTCTGGTGTATCTGACTCCCGAGACACAACCAAACTGTGCCTCGGGGCCCCAGAATCATCCAAGCCCAAATGTTGCCCGTTGCAGTCCTTCTTGTAGTGGCGATTCTTTCATTTTGGCATCTGCTTCAGTTTCCTACAAATAGATTACAAGATTAACAACTAAATATACATCCCTGCGCTACCCATCCATCTATTCATCCATCCATCCATCCATCCATTCATCTATTCATCCATCCATCCATCCATCCATCCACCCACCCACGCACGCACCCATCTATCCATCCCTCCACCCACCCACACACCCATCCATCCAAGAATCAGCGCAAGACATACACAGAACTGGACGAGCATGTGGCATTTTTATACTCGCTAGGTATGTGCAGCTTTTTTCTACTCTCTTTTTTCCCTTGCGCAAATAGAACGATTGTATAAGATTGAGTATTAGCAATACTTTTTTGGTGGCTACAATCTTTTACTCATTGTGTTGGCTTGCTGTGTGCTTGTTACCTGTACTTGCGTCGTTTGGTTTTTAGATGTTTTTGTTATACTGCAGACATATTTGGGCTGAGCGATCACGACCTGATGTTTAGCCAAGAAGACGCATCTCACTCAGATGTTGAGGATGAACAGCAGACAGATTACATCAAGGCCAGAGTGCAGAAGGCTCAGCAGACCGTACAAATGGAGGCTAACATGAACGTAGACCTCTACGATGGGGCTGCGGCTCAGGGCCCTGTAACTGGAGCAGGACCAAGTAAGCTACAAAGTCATATCTGTTAGTCTGTGTCTTCTACCACCAAGCACGACACAGGGTTATATATTTTAGTCGACGTCTACCTTCAAATCAGATACAATGCTTTATCTGTTCTTCTTCTTCTTATCCTCTTGGTCCCCCAATGGGACATAAGGTTGTAGATATATCTGTTGGCCCGAGAATACATCCAAAACTGTGGTGTGGCTGTACATCAAATTTTCAATGCTGCTCTCTACTGTGGCGTCGTACATTTAATGAAATCATGATAGCTGGGGCATTAGCTCTGTCGTATAACATTGCATGCTGATGTTGCTTCCAGATCGTAAGCGGCAGCCTCTTCTCGACCTGAACCAGGGTCAGGAAGATATAAACCCTACGCACAATGGAAGTCTGACTGAAATACTTCAGCAGAGTTTTGCCAATATGACAGTAGACCTTACAGATGACGATCAGTCAAGTGCCATGGTATATCCATTAGTTCTCTTTAAACCATTTAATTTTGCAAATTCATGTGCATATCTATCTGTGGCCACGAGTGCAACTGGCACCATAATACAGTGCATACAACCAAGCATTCTTTCATTAGCTTCTGTGATAAGTTAATTGAGAATATGGCTTGCTCCGATTTTCTTCGAGATGACAATGATTACGGCATTTGTTACGGGACGCCTGACATCTC